GTGCAATTCAGTTGAGCATATATGAGTGTTGTATGGAGCTTTGATGGGAATAATTGATTTTTGTGCTTACTTTGGATAGGTGGTGAGGTTTCGAGTAGTTTATATGCTCGAGGATATGATTGTCTATTTGGACCACTTTATCTTTATATTGTTCCTTTCTTTGATGCCTACAATGCAAACCCGAAAGTCCTCTTGATTTACAGTTCATGCTTTGGTTTGTTTAGAGTATGAATAGATGACAAGCAAGTTTATGTTGATGCATGATGATCGACCAATTTGAGCGTCCCAGTTTTTATACTCATGAAAGATACCGAGTGATGCATATACATTTACACTTATGTGCTTGAGAGTTTGTCTTTTCAAAGTGTTGCATTCGAGTCGTAATTGAGGTATGCTATATTGGTCATTGGAATTCTCCTCGGCTGAGTTAATTAATCTGAAGCTTGTTTTATTTGAAACGGTTATCCATGCGCAGTTGCTTCTTCTCGTGTATTTTCTTTTCTTTTCTTTTTGTTCGGGACGAACAAATGTTTTAGTGTGGGGGAGTTGTTTGTTCCATTTTTGTTGCTATTTTCGTTGGTATTTTGTGTGTCGTTTCCCCCGTTTTAGGTCTTTTCTTAGGTATTTCTGGTCCCTTTTATTGTTTCTTGCGTTTTTATCTTTATTTTTGTGTGTTTAGCATTTTTCTTGTATTCCCTCCTATTTTTCTCGTGTTTTCGTCTTTTTCCGGTTGCGGTGGTTTTCAGGTTGCAAATGATGAAAGCGATAGGCAGTTCCGGTTCCTAGGAGTTTCACTGGTTCGTACGACTTAAGCACGCTGAGATTGAGTTTGTAGCTCGGGAAATACCCGAGAAATGCTAGACGAGAGCTCACGAGTTTAAAACTTGGAAATTTTAGAAGTTGCCCAGGACATAGCGCCGCTATAGCCAACCCAGCTAGCGGCACTACACAGCAAAGCGATGGGTAGAGGCTCGAGCATTTTTACCCTTAGCGGCGCTAAGGGGTTAGCGCAGCTAACTTCCCAGCCTTAGCGGCGCTAAAGGGTTAGCGCCGCTAACCGCTGATATGTGACAGACGCGATTTCTGTGGATTTTCAAAGGGGGAATAGAAAGGGTCGAAACTAGGGCATAAGGGATCATTCCCATACATTTTTTGTTTTTTTTTTTTTTTGTTTTCTCTTCACTAAAAACATTTTTTCTCTTGGATTTTCACTGGGGATTAGATTGGGAGAATAGAAAACTCCTTTTCTAACCTTTAGATTTGGTTTGCTCGTTGTTCTTTCGACATTGGATTCATTATTAATCGTAAGCACTCCTTTTTCATTTTGTGTATGAACATGATGGCTTGGGTTATTGATTATTTTGATGTTGAATCAATCATGAGTGGCTAAATTCATATGCTAGGGAATAGGGGATTGATGTTTTGAACTCGTTGCGATTATCATGTTCGTGAATGTTCAATTTGTACGAGTTAAGCTTTTTCTAGGGTTTTCAATCGTTGTTCGTGAGTTTTGAGAATTATTAAAGGGTGACACTTCAATATCCAATTGTTTCAATTGAATTCGATAAATTCGTGCATGTTGTTGATAATTCTAAACAGATTAGTGGATTAACTACCTTTTAGTCTTCTTTAATCGACTCTTAGAACCGAAAGGGGGGAGTCAGTCGAATTAGGCTCGTATAAACTAGGCTTGTTCGTAATTGTATTGCCTAGGTGTTAAATGACTTGTTAACTTGTCGTTTAAGTTTGTTCGCTTGTTACGAAAAGTTATTGAGAATGAGTGCTTGAACGTGTCGGTTATTCAAATCACTTAACCGAACAATCTCTAGTTTGGTAATTGCATTTTCGAGTCAAAACGGATATCCCCGACTCCCTAGCTCCTCAAATCCTATTTGTTCTTCGTTTTCACTTGCTATTTAATTTGCCTTATTTGAATCTTTGCACTAGTTGATAATTAAATCAAAACCATCTCTGAATTAGCATGTTTAGGAGTTTTATTTCTTTTATTTGTGTTTGAATAAGCGTACAGAGTGTTCCGGCTAACCTTCCTCGTGAGACATGACTCGGTGTCAAATCTTTTGATTCTAATCCGGAAAAATATTCACAACATCGGGGAAGATGAAGGACCCAACGCACCAAAGATAAGGGCCCTTGCCCTCCGCTCGTACACGATGTCCGGTTGTCCCTGTTGCATTCCTTCTCTAGCCCTTCATCATTCATAAACTGGCCTTTAATGTGCCAGACTGTGTATTTTCGGTTGAGATTAATGCATCGGTTTACCGTTTTGAAAAAAAAAAAATAAAAATAAAATAAAAAAACTTATAAGATTGTAATTATATGCATCACTTTTAAACTTGGCAAATATATACATCACCTTTACAATTTTTGGCAATTGTATGCACCGGGCCCAATTTCGGGCTTTGACTGCCGACATGGCTACTGAGTTTAAAAGTGATACATATAATTGCAATTTTCAAAAATGTCATGGTTTTATTAGCAATTAAGCCAATAAAATATTTATTTGATTTTAATTTACTATTTATTTTATTATATTTTCTATCTTATAAGATAATAAATATAAGATAATGAATATTTATTATGTAATAATCACAATAATATTATAACGTAATACATTATATATTCGAACTTGTGAATATATGGACGCTACGTATTAATAAATACAATCAAATTTTGAAGATAATGTAATTTATATTAATAAGATATAAACTTATAATAATTAAAATATAATAAAATAAATTATATAATAATAAATGAAAAATAAATTAAAATAATGTAAGATAGATTATTATAATATAGTGCATTTAAACTAAATTACATCAAAATAATATATATTTATTAATTCAAAAATTAATTATATAAATTTGGAAATAAAAAATAATAATGATAAAAATAAATTAAAAAATAAATTAGATTAAAGTGCACCGGTGAAAATTAAATAATAATAAAATAATCTAACATAAAAAAGTATAAAAATAAAAATCTATTTATTTTATTTATTTTACCATTTTTTATAAGTAAATATATTATTTATTATATTATCATATATTTTATTATATCAGATAATATAAGAATAGTATTAGATAATATAAGATAATATAAGGTAATATAATATGAGATAATATGTTTTTTTATAAAATGATATAATATAAGATAATATTATAATATTATAATATAATAAATATTCATTCTTATATTTATTATCTTATAAGATAATATAATATAAGATAGAAAATATAACTAATGAAATAGTAAAATAAAATTAAATAAATATTTTATTGACTTAATTGCTAATAAAACCATGATCTTTTCGTAAATTGCAATTATATACATCATTTTTAAACTCAGCAGCCATGTCAGCAGTTAAAACCCGAAAATAGGCCCAGTGCATACAATTGCCAAAAATTATAAAAGTGATGTAAATATTTACCAAGTTTAAAAGTGATGCATAAAATTGCAATTTTCGAAAGAGTCATGAATTTATTAGCAATTAAGCCTAAAATAAAATCCCTACTACCATTCGGAGTATGAAGTTGTATTTAATCGACAGGAGTACAAAATTAACTACATAAGAGAAAACATAAAATAAAATCACAAGCATCCTAACCAAACATCACGTGCGAGCACTTTTTCCATGCTAAAACATCATAAAATCGTTTTTCTAACATCACATCTACCATCCAAAACCAGCATCACCACTTTGTGAGTATTCTCCACTCGCAAAGCTCATGTGTGCTTTCACCTCAAAGTGGTTATTTTTACATGAAGTTACTCTTTCGACTTGCTTCAACATGTTAACAGAAATCCAGTTCCTCCTGGTTTATTCCATAATGATCCAATTTTTATACTCATGCTGGGTAAAAACACCTCATCAGTACTCACGTTCTCCGGCCCTCCCTAGTCGCTTATATTGGGTTCCCAACGGCCTCTAACATCACTAGCCGCGTCACAGTCAGACACGTAATATCTCTTTCTTTTTGATTTCTCGGGGTGATCGCCAAATTCACTCTTGGACCCACCGCATTCCGATTTTTTAACACCATCTTTTCTGGATCTTGATCTAGAATCAGAAGATCTATAGCTTCCACAGGAGTTTCCAAATTTTCTGCTGTCATTCTCGTCTTCCCCATGCGTTCTGCCCAAACGATCTCTAGTGCTCGAGTGCTTTGATCTACGACTGGGTCGTCGGCTGGAATTATTATCTTCAGATTCCTCAGAGCCATCGGCCATCAGAGATTGCTTCTTGTGAGTATGTGCACTTTCTCTCTTATCATCATCCGACCAACGGTCGTCCGAGGATGTAGACACATTGTTGTTGTGCCTTGTCTTCCTACTTGAATGTCTATGTCCATAGTCGACTTTGTCTCTGTTGAAATGCATATTTTCATCAAAGTCAGTCTCGTGTATGCTTACCCGATTGAAATTCCCATTTTGAGATCCCGATTTTCCATTCTTGCTGTTCTGCTGCTTCTTTTTAGGATTTGATGCATCGGGAAGTTCCGGATGCTTCCTGTCGGCAGTTGTGTGTCGCCTTTGGCGTTTACTACTCCGAGAGTAATCCTCTGAGTAATTTCTTGAACTTTTAGTGTGACCAATCTCACGTGATCGAGATCTACGAGAGTGATATCTGCCACAAAAATTTGCACGGAGTAAGAGGACGTCAAATGACTTTTGACTGTGAATTAAAGCTTTGCATGGAATAAGAGAACGTCAAAAGTCATGACTTTTGACTGTAGAATTAAAGCTTCCGAAGGTAAGTCGTGACCCAATAAGCTTCTCACTAACTTCATCTAGGGAAACCAACAGCCCCTGTTTTAGGCTGCATGGATGAACAGATCACTAACAATGTCAACGACATTCGCAAGGAGCTTTTTAATCGACACTTGTCAATTGTCATGTTCTCCATTCACAAGTTTCAGAAAGTTGGTAAGCTAATTTGAAAAATAGAAAGCTAAAATTTTCACCAAAATTAACCCAACGTGGAAATGGCAATGCCATATATACAAACACCAGGCATTGATGGGAAGAAATCTAGGAACAATTATTGGAGCAAATATTTTCAATAAAAAGTACTCATGTTTGTCAGAAAAAGTTCTGCTATCTAACATGTTGACTTCAAGTCATGTCATAATCCTGGTGGTAATTATAAATGTTTCTCACTGTGGTTGTAGTTTTACCCTTTTCTCTATCAAGTCAAACCACCATAAAGCAAGTACAGCCCACCCTGCCCAACTAAAAAAAAAAAAAACTGAAGAAAAGGAAACGTGTGAAAATATGTAAGCAAAATGTGCTCTCATCCATTTTTCTTTTCTCCTCACTTATGGGGAGGGGCTGGGATAAACCTGTAGCGGTCAGGTTCTCATCATAATGACATTATATAAGTCATAATCAGTAACTTGAGCTCACCTGTCCGCATCATCTGGTGATGTCCGACTGGATTTCCTGAACAACCTTGGACTTTGCTCAATCTGTTTTCCATTTCCAGATTCATCAGGATAACCAAACAGAGCAGCCATCTTTTTCAGCCAGTATTTTGGAGCTGGTTTATCCCAATCAGCCCATTCATAGTCTCCGCCAGGATTCCGGAAGCAGTGAATAAAATTGCACGTCTTTCCACGGGAACATGTCTAGGAAGAATTAACGTGTAATACATGAGGACGTGGGCAATATATGTAATATCAGCATAAAGAGGGCCTATAGCTGTAATTCACTAATTTGTGACTCCCTGGAGGTGGTGGATGAACAAGAACGAAAAGAATAATGTATAAAAAAAAATATAATATACCTGGAGCTTTGATTTCATAAATTCTCCACATATAGCAACCTTCCATCTAGTTACCCCGACAAACTCGCATTGAACCTGTGATCACTATATCAGTCGAGCATCGCCAAAATTAGGCAGCAATTGAACAGAACACATTGTGTACTAGGCCAATACTTTATCGCACATGCACACTATAGCAGCAGTCAGATAATCTGAAGCGTGCTTACCCACGAAAAATTGAAGCAAACAAACCAGAAGAATACTTAGTTATTATTTTGAATAGACCGCCGACTCAATTCTCTTTCCGTTTTCAATCATCCGGGGTGCCACTTCAACAAAATGTGTTGAGTTGTTTTCACATAAACAATAGGATGACAGCTTATGCCCACGACATGTGTTGATTGCATCAAATTATTCGCAGTCTCAAGACAACTAAATCCTAATAGCAAGTAATGGCAACTACCCACCAGACATCAACCTGATTCAACCGTCTTGAACATTTGGTTACATAGCCTTGCTCTATCTCTATCTAATCTATTGGAGCAAATCTAGGAGAACACAAGGCTATGGCACCTCCCCTAAATCCCACTTCAGTCCTGATGGTACATGCACATTAGTTTAAGTACACATTAGATTAGACATCCCTGTATACGGAGAGATAAAAAGCATACTGGTTTGGTCTTCATTATTGTTTTTTCTTGTGATTCAAAATTAGTAAATTACTGATATCAACATTATGTAGTTGAAGAAATTTCGGGATAGAGGTACAAACTATTGAGATAGACAAACCAAGGTAGTACATTTATAAAGAAGATTTGTCTAGGAGCAGAGTGTCAATCTTCACACCACTTATTCTCAAAACCTAGAAAATCTTTTTGGACCTTTCTTTAATGCTGTATTCTAACAGTGCCTATAAAAGAAATTGTGATTTATGAAATGGAATCTGTTCAGTTTCAATAATATGCACATGGAAATATACATATCTGAAGTTTCTCTTGTTCTATCTACAGAACTAGGAATTTAATATTTTTCAGTCAGTTTGCTCACCCAGGGTGAAGTTAATTATTCCCTAACCACATTCATTAAGCAAGAGTGCTTAAAGGTCTGATAGTTCAGTTTAAACTGTTAATTCACCGCAGAAAATGAACCTCTTGTTATGTTCAACTTTCACATATTTTGTTGGGCGGAGGGCAGATATTTTGTACTGTGAGTTATGCTGATGTATATTACACAACTTCCCATCTGCCAAAGAATGGAAGTTTCAAGTACCATATTCTTCAACTAAATGAAAGCAAAAATATCTGCAATCCAGAAAAGTAATGATTAAACTCCTGTACACATTATTAGTGAGGGGAACAGATGCAGACGTATTTTCAAGAAAACTAATATTCATCATTACAATTAGACAACCAAAATTTGATTAGCATGAAAGGAGGAAATACCTGTTTACCGGCAAAATAACGGCCGTTTACTGATTGATAAGCAAGTACAGCAGAGTCCAGAGCCTTATAGTGCACATACACATTTCCTCGCAAATGAGATGAACCATTTTTGCACACCTAATACATGGCCTTCATTCATTATGCTGAAAACTGGATATGTGCAATGCGCAAGAAGAATCATTTGCTACCATAGAACAACTACTTCCCACCATATGCTCTATGACGAATAGCATGTATAACTACTTTCCGTGCTGTACATCAGATTAATAATATGTCCGGAAGTAAGAGTAAAGGACACTACTTGTTTAAAAAACCGATTTTTATTTTACTTTCTGGAACAGATTTGAACAAAATTGAAAGTGACCACTTGGACTAGTTACTGACTACAATAACAGAAAGCCAAATCCTAAAATCTGATCATGCTTCTCCTGTATGGTGTATGAAGCTCAAACCAAGAATTATAAGAACAATCACGTTATTAACAGAAAGTTTAAAAGATTGTAGTGCTCTACTTTCTTTCAAAAACAACTGGCTACCTTAAAATTTACAATCTCCCCGAACTTCAAGAATTCAGTATGTACATCCTCATAAAACTCCTCATAAGCACGCTCAACCTCTTCATCTGTGTACTGGCATAAAGAAAAGAAAGAAAATGGAATTGACCATATAGTGTTGTACAAAACACGTGACAATTCATGCATGAGGGAAAGAATGCTGAACAGAACATGTCCCGAACATGTCAAACATAATGGGCAAGACAATTCTTCTATGTCAAAGAAACCAATCCTCTCTAATGTTTAGCACTTTCACCAACCACAAAGATTAAGAAATTGCCCGTCTGTTCCATGGTCTGAACTAAATAGGGAGACTAGAATCTGTCTTATGAGTCATTATCACAAATTGGGACCCTTGATGCAAGAACATAGTGAACTTTCAGGAAAGGGCACTGGAATAAAGTGCAAGACTGCAGACAATCATGTGTGCAATTTCACAAATGAAATAGTTTAGTCAAATGTAAGATGACGTAAGTTTCCTTCTATTACATTGAAGTATCTTTTCCTCGTAGGTTTCTACGGCTAATTATGGTGATTACAAGTGTACAGTAATCTTACATACCTCACAAAACCTACGTTTTCTATAAGGAGTTATGTTCATCAATAACGAAAAGTGTAAATCAGGACATGCTGAGGAAGAATAGTTTAGAGGCTAAATCGAAATACATTTTATGGTTTATGAATTACACAGGTCCATCTTACACCCATAGTTAGCCTTCGTTGTGCCAGATAAATAATATAAAGAGTCTAACCAATGAATCTGTTTCCATCAGTAATCAATATTGAAAGAGATGTTATCCAAGAATAATTAAAAAATTTAGCATGTGAAGAATCTATGACTATTGACAAGTCAATATTGGTGACATGGTACAACAACCTAAACTAACTCATCACTCATTTCATCATATGCAGAAGATAATGCTGTGTTGGTATAAGTGCATCAGCTGTGAGCCCAATATGTTAAAGTGTGGTTCAACTAGCCAAGAATAGATTCACCCAACTCTTAAGTGCTGACAATCAACACACCCATTTTACTCGTAAAAATTTATTTCTTGTAGCATAACTAGCACATAAGTTGAGCATGCTAAAGCAGAGTGGATAATGTAAAGCACATAAATCAGATGCAGAATTTCTTGAAAACGGCTAAACATCAAGTTTAAGTCCCTAAATTTTGCAAGGGAGGCATGAAAAATAAAAATAAAGGGAACAGGGGAAAAAGTAGATGTATGGGTGGTCTGTAAGATTGACAGATAGCAGATACTAGTACATAGAAGTGGAAAAGGAACACCAAAATCATATTGCATTTGCTAAATATAACCAAATAATATAGAAATATTGGATGGAAATTGCACATACAGTAAGGAACTGAGACACGATATCTCTCTCATCTGCCCCTAAAGTAAACACTGAACATTTCTCACTTTGGACGCTTTAAGATAATATGCTAGCAGGCGAGAAAAAGTCTTCCACAGGCATGTCACTGAGTACTCGTGAAGAAACTAGCAAATAGAAAACTCCAGTTGCTCTGACAGTGTGCACTTGGATTTAAATGTTTGCAATGTCTTTATTCATAATATGCAACATAAATAGAATATATTGTTATGCATGACACAACTACTTTTATGATTGAACTTACAGGAGTTACAGCTGGATTATGCACCCATCTCTCTTAATAAAGATGGACAAAGATCCTGGGTTCCACAATAACAAACCTTAAGAGACAACATTTATCGGCATGAGATCCCCAACATCTGGAAGAGAGGAGCTCCCTATTATACTAGTGGAAGTTAAGGAACCCAATGAGCTAGCATAACAAGCCCAGAAGTAAAATTTCCAAGAAAGCAAAATTGATTGCAAGAGTATTGAAGAAGAATCAACGTATCATTTTCTATTTAGCCACAAGGATGGACAAGAACTAAGATCAGAGGAACGTAAATAACCACATGTTACATGGTAAATAACAATGCTTAAAATGAGAAGAAATGAATCCATCATGGGAAAGTAAATGGAGTTAACACTTAAAACTATAAGGATTATATTAAAAGGATTTTGGTCTACCCAAGTACATGCGCATGCAGGGAACAGGACACACTAGACTCAAGCACACACAACGTGCACACACACAATCTCCCACGCACACATTTGATTGCTCTACTAGATTCAGAAGCATCAGTACCATGCACCTCACATATGTAGATTTACAGTTATTAATCATTTAATATACATGCACCACACATTTAATAACAAGAAATGATGCATGAGACAAATTAGAATATGGAAGATTGCACTTAAAAGGTGATAAAAAGTAATATGTTATCAGAAACTCAGAGAAAAAAGAATATCCAGTAACCCAGGGTTCAGGGCGAGTGTAGCATTACCAAGATAAACTTTGTCGCATGAATTTGCTATTATGCATTCTAGTATAATATGAACCTCAGAATCCATGACTGCCAGGTACAATGATCTCATTCTCGTATAGAGTGTATGAAAAAGGGTATTTACAGGGTAGATAATTGATAGTGCTAAGTTTGTTTGGCTTAGCAAAATTCCAGTCTTGAAACAAAAAGAAAATGGTAAATAAATATAAGCTAGGGTTCTCAGCTTTTCAGTTATTTCACAGTTGTTGACATGTATATAATCCCCAAAAATAAATAGTAGAAGGGTCAATGACACATCAAAATGGACTGATGGGTATCAATATGACAGGCTATCATTATGATTATGAGCACAGAGGCCTAACAATTAGGTCCAATTTGCAAATTGTACAAGGGTTCAAGTAATTCGCCTTCCACTATTTTCAATTTGACCAAGAAACTAGATGCTTAGGAGTTAGAGAGGTTTGAAATTGGTGTAGAGAGCAATGGGCTAATTTTATGGTAAATTTTTATAACATATGGAAAGAGAGTCATTTTCAAGGAAAATGGCTGATAAACATAAACTGGGTTTTCCATATAGTGAAACTGTTAAATAGTTCAATGAAAGTAAAAGCAAAATAACTATATTCTTCTTGCTTCCCTTGAATATCAAGCAAAAATATTGTGAACCTCATTCAAAGGGTTGGTCAACAAAAATTTCAATTAGTGTTGAATGTATCAGAAACATAGAACCATAAAATTGCATAATTTGTGCAAGCAGGATACTAGTCGCATGAAGACCTCATTAACAGACCTCAAGTCCTTCATCCTGCTCCCAAGCTAAGCCAGGGCCAGTATACATGTTCTTAATAAGCAAAGTGCTGGATTTATCAGGATAGAAGTGAATCCTGCTGCAACGTGACCCAAACCGACAAGCACCTGTTTTTAGGTGGAATGGACAATGAGATTTATCCTGCCAAAAACATATACAAGGAAATAAGATAAAACTTCCCCAGGAAGGAGAGAAGGGTACAAGAAGAGCTCTTGAGGCATGAATAAAGCTTTGTTACTGTGTGATAATCGATTCCCATAAAGGTATATGTAACATGGAGTAGATAAGAGATCAAATTTTTTACCTGTTCAGTTCCAAAGTTGGGAGTTTCTTGAGCAACATTTTCTAGCAGCTGTTGAGCTGAAAGAACTGATGTATTCTTATAATCCGCAAAAACCTCTGACTGGGGAGGAAGAGGATTTGAAGTGGGCCTATTAGGATCCTAATTTTAAGAATTTTAACAACAGTCAGTTGAAACAAACATAAGATAATGTTCTAAAAAATCAGATGTAAAGGAAAGTGAAAACCTCTTCAGCAATCTGATGATCCGTGTCTTTCCTTTTTACTCTAACTTTTTTCTTCTTCACAATAATTTCATTGCCCTGCCAAATAATTTCAGGAGGTCCCTCTTCGACGTACTCCCAACCATTTTCTTCTTCATCATTTTCATGCCCAATCTGTATGATTAACCGCATAAAAACTTCTAATCTATGAATTCATCTACTTCTAGGCAGGCAGATATACAAAAGACAAGGCGTCCCAACAAAGCAGTAAAATTTGCAGTAATGGAGCATGATAATTGCAACAATATATTAGATCAGCTATTGAAAATAAAGAAACAGATTAACAGGGAGCATTGTCGGAAAAGTGTGACTAGTTCATAAACCACAATGTCCTATCGGCAAAGGAAAAAGAATAAAACCAACTTCATTATTTTTCACAAACTTAAAAACACAAGTTAAAAAACAATAAAATCAAATGAATGTAATCACCCTGGGCTTCTCCAAATGATATAGTTCACATCAGACGCTCAAGGATCAATTAAAGCAATGCTGATATGACATTCAAAATTAGCTCGTAAGATTCCCTATCAATAATGTTTTCCAGAACAACGTGAACCCAATCCACACAGTAACATATCATCATTATACGACAACAATTAGATCAACTAAAAGAGCGTATCAACAAAGCCAGCCATAGCATCCTATTTCATTATTTTGTCTGCCTCTCCATTAAGCTCCACCAAGCACATCACTGTTATACCAAAACCTCAACCTTTCTAAAAATGTTACTGTTTAAACTGTACAGAAGTCTACCTCTTTTTTATGCAGTCTAAAAACAAGAGACCTCACAACAACGTGCATAGCCAAAATCGTTTTTAAAAATCATGTCATTAAGTTAATAACTAACCAAATGTTCAATCCTACAACCGGTGCCAATATCACACTCATAATCTTAAGATATGCAAGAATCTAGTATGATTGGAATCATCAGAAATTTCGTTCAACATCATTATAAATGAACGATTACAGCTTAATCCCAGACAACCAAGCTAAAATAATCCATGCTGCGTTAGAGTGCGTACCTGATTCCCATTGAACTGTCTTTCTTTCTCAGCTCTCATTCCCCTCTCATCTTCCGCCCTTCGATCCTCAGCCCTTTTTCTCTCCCATTCTTCCAGAATCTTCCTCTCCCTCTCCTCGAACTCCCTCCGTTCTCGCTCGACTCGCGCCTTTTCCTTCTCCTCCTCGGCTAGGAGCCGCAGCTGCTCCTCGGGGTCGTTGAGCCGAGCTTCCTCCTCTCGGCGCGCCTTCTCCGCCAACTCCTTCCTCTTTTTCTTCCTCTTCTCCTTCTTCACCGCCTTCCGCCTCTCCTTCCGGCCAGCAACCTTGCACCTCGCCACCGCTGTATTAGTATTGGTGTCATTGTTGTTGGCTTCCGCCACTTCATCATCTTCCATCTCACCGGTCGTGATTAATTGTTCTGTCATCGGTACGGTTTCTGGGGTTTGAGGAATAATTTTGCGTTTAGAAAAACAAAAAATGATGCAAAAACATGCTGTATTGGTGTGTGTGACCAAGGAAAATTGGGCCGGTACGCCGGACCGCCTGGCCCGGAACCAGCCCGAATGTATGGGTCACTGAACTGGATCGGTGCTACAAACAGGCCGGTTCCAGGTAGACATGGCCACAACCAGCCCGAATGTATGGGTCACTGAACTGGATCGGTGCTACAAACAGGCCGGTTCCACGTAGACATGGCCACGGGTTGGACCGACCCGTGGATCGGCCCGTGAACTGGCCCGGAACCATCCCGCCCTGTCGGTTTTTGAACCGGTCCATAACCCCTTAAGGGCCGGTTACGGGTTATGTTGCACCCATTTTTGGCCTGCGAGTCGGGCCGGTCCCAAGTTTTCCGACGGGTCACGGTTATAATTTATTTGTTTTTCCATTTCTTTTAGAATCGGGGCCTAGAATTTGAGACCCGCTGGGTCGGGCAGGGCTTTGGCCACGTCTAGTTCCAGGTCTTAAAGTTTTTTGATGTCGTTTTAGGCCGGAAGACATATCTT